GTCTGAGTCCCGATGGCGCCGGGCAGCGTCTACCATGAGCTTCAGAGGATGCGAGTGTGTAGCGCCATTTGTAGTCCGAGGTGATGTGGTCCTGTGTGTCGGACTGCAAATCGTGAGCTTCATGTTCTGCTAGCTCGCTGATTGGGAGCTATGGCGTGCAATCACCATTCATCGGCAAGCCTGTCTATGATGCATCAACCACCTAAGTGTTTCCCCAGTCCAACTTACAGCTTTATTGACTATCTCGCCAAAGTTTTCGGTCGAAGAGATGATTCCACTGATGCTGACATTCGCTCCCCCGCGTGGTCTCCTGGCTTTCCTGACGACATGATCTTGATCCGACCCTCCTCAGTCGATGACGCTTACTCGCACAGCCCGCCCTTCTAGACACCGAATGCGAGCTGCCATGCATCATTTGTAATGCCTTCTGCTCTTTCCAATGCGCTTGCGGAGCCTAGCAGGTGCTTAGCGCTTACTCGCGAGCTCTCCTTCTCATGCTGCATGCGACAGATGGTCTTTGCGTCGGTCGGAGAAGCGTGTCTTTGAATCGTAGGACGGGCAAGAGTAGGCGCCCGGGATCGAGTGTGCAGGCTTATCGGCCGTGTGAGGTCCGATTTGGCTTCGAATGAGGGCAGCGTGAGCGCATGACTTTTGACTGGGTAAGGTCAGACGATGAAGTGGTGAAGTGAGGGGCTACTGGTGGTGCGGCGTCCAGCGAGCTTTGCGACTCGGATGGCGGCCACGGCGCTAGCTCAGTGAGGGCAAGCGCGCTACATCCTTGCCGCAAAGTGTCGTAAGTGCTAAGCGACGATCTCTAAAAGTGGATCCGAAAGCGTTCATGGAGGCTGCGTCGATGGTGGTGGGTGGCAGTAAGGGTGCTGCGCCTGAAGCGGCGGCTACAAGCCTCGTCGCTGGCTTAATCTAGTAAACGAGATTGCTGGCATTGTGATTGAAGCAGCACCTGCGGCAGGCTGTTTGACATGCGAAAGGAATCGGGATGATGTCCGTCCGCGTACTCGTGACTGCTGCACATCGTAGGACAAAAAAGGGCTGAGATGATCATGGTGTGATTGCGTCAAGTGATGATCTATCGAGAGTGGACGTACATGCGGGTGAGCTGGCGCGGCGAGTGACAAAAGGATCTTCAGATATTCGCACTGCGTGTTCCTGTGGTGGTAGTTTTTAGACCATGACTGGATTTCACTGGTCAGGAATCGAACGCGGTGACAGATATACGGTCCTTCTCTTGCAGCCAGCGCACGCGTCTGCTTCAGTGAG